ATGTGTATTTTTTTTGTTCTAAGTAGAGATGTTTCGATGATGTACTTGGATAGAATTGTTCAAAGTTTTCTATGATAATACTATTTATTTCTAAGAATAAGTTAATTTTTTAATGAAATATAGAATTCAAATTAGTAGAACTTTTGTTTGAGCTTATAGAAAAAAAAAATATATAAGATAAACCTATGAGTCTATCTTTGATACAAAAAAAAAACAAAGATTTTTTCCAATGAATTGAGTCATCTCTGAGAAAGTGTTGAAGCCAACATTTTAACTAACTTATATCGAGTACACAAAAGATCATTCAGTTAAGAATTTTATATGACGAATTTTTCCATCTAAGTAATATCTTCACTAAATAAAAATTCTTTGTTCTAGTTATAAAAATATTAAATATTTCAAATTTGACAATAAACATTCAAAAAAAAAAGAAATGTCAACTAATAATCGTGTCGATAAAGTTGTTCCAGGTAAATGAAATTAAAATTTTATCTAATCAATACATCATTATTCTTTTATTTAAAATAGTTTTTCCATGGTTTGGTATGGATATTGGTGGAACATTAGTTAAACTTGTTTATTTTGAACCACTTGATTTAACACCTGATGAAATTCGAACTGAAGGTGAAATTTTAATGAATATTCGTCATTATTTAACATCAAATCGTGCTTATGGACAAGATGGTGTACGTGATCATGCACTTGAATTAAATAATATACAATTAGGTGGTCGTCGTGGAAATCTTCATTTTATTCGTTTTCCAACATCAAAAATGCCCAATTTTATTGATTTATGTGCTATGAGACATTTACATACATTAACATTTGAAATATTTGCAACAGGTGGTGGTGCTTATAAATTTGAAAAAGATATTGTTGAAGTATATATGTTATAAAAAAAAAAAAAAAAAAGAAAAAAACGAAACAATTTTATTCATTCTAGAAATTAAAAATAAGTTGGTGTAAATGTGATGAACTTGATACATTAATAAAAGGTTTAAGTTATTTAAGTAAACTTAATCTAAAAGAATGTTTCTATTATGAAGAACCACAAAATGATGCTAATCCAAATAAACATCCATTTATATTTGATACAAAACGTCCATTTCTTTTAGTTAATATTGGTAGTGGTATTAGTATTTTACATGTTGATTCTGAAAGAAATTATCGACGTATAACTGGTACAAGGTTAGTTATGAAAATGATTTATTAATTGATTTAATTGATATATATATTTTATTTATTTTATATTATAGTATAGGTGGTGGTACATTTTTAGGTTTATCTTGTTTATTAACAGGATGTTCAAGTTATGATGAAGCTATTCAATTAGCTACTGAAGGAGATAGTACAAAAGTAAATTTGAATTCATTTTTTTTTGAAAAAAAAAATATATTTCTCTTATTGATTTATTGAATAGGTTGATAAATTAGTTAAAGATATATATGGTGGTGATTATGAAAGATTCGGTTTACCTGGTCATATTGTAGCTAGCAGGTAAAAATTTCAATACAAACTATTTGTTATGTTATGTGATGCGATAGTATTAGATCACATGTTATCTTCCTCTAATATCTACCGGGCAGTCTTTAATTTCGAATAACTTTTGATAACTATATGAAAAGGACATAGAAGTTTGATTCGTGTATTCGCGATTTATGTTAACACCAATAACCAAACCTATTATCTTCTTCCGATAGAGAGTTTTAGATAGTGACTGTGATTTATAGGTGCACGATTCTAACGTACCCTTTAGAATTGAATTTCGATGTAATTTTCATTTACCGAAAAATACTGACTGATTACCATGGCAACAAGCAGCACTATTAAATAGTACATGGAACTACATAGTAACAGAGCCTCTTTTGAATGGTGAAAGCTGCAGCTTCTTATCGTGATCATATCAAAGGTTATTCGAAATTAAAGACTGCACGGTGACTTTTGGCCCATCCTATAGCTGTCTATACATATTAGAATGTAGAAAAAGTAGCGCCGGTAGAACAAAAAAGACATAGAAAGGAGTTTCATCAAGTCTTTACTTTATTAAATGTTCGAACTAATCTCGTCCTACTTATTCATACACTCGATTACATTCGTTGAATCCGTTTTTTGTATACCCTAATATTTATAGACGGCTAGATATTAGAGAAAGCGAGAACATCAAGAGTAGAATACACATTGAAGACAAAATATGATCTAATATCACTGTCACATATCATAACACATAACTCTTATTAAAATTTTATTATTATAATATCAATTTGAAAAATAAAAATACTTCTATTTGTAGACTATAAAATTTCTATGTAATAGATGCCCTATAGATCTCTGTTCTATCGAGTTATTATTAAAAACTAAATATTAATTACGTGACATAAAACACCACGAAAATTTTCATAGCGTGCATTTTTACTAAAACAAAAAAAAAATATTGCAAATTCTAATAGTATTTTTGAAAATTAAATAATGCGTCTTAATTTATTTAGAAAAAAAAATCATCAAGAATATGTGCGAAATTTTGAGTTAATTTACACTTTCAGAGTTAAGTATCAATTGGATATCATCAACATACACATCATTACTATTCATCACAGTACAGAGTGAAATGATACATTCAGAATTTTGTATATGGTCAAGATTCGTATAAAATGGTCGAAATTGAAACATACAAACAGGTAGTCATCTTAGAATTAAAACATATCATTTTAACAAAATATTTTAAACCTACAATATATTCTTGCAACAAACTCCGATTTGGTCTGCAGCCTAGACTGAGGACTCTGATGCTGACCCTTACGAGTATATACTTGCTCAGTACTATTGACTTTTCATTATAAAACCGTCAGGCGGTTTTTTTTTCGCTAGCAAACAATACTTTTACAGTTATATAACGCTGCCGATTTGTCTCCTAATTTCTTAAACTTGAATACTTTTAGTTTCGGTCATATGAATTTACCGGAAAAACGTGAACAAACAACCAAAGCTGATTTAGCTCGAGCTACATTAGTAACAGTTTTAAATAATATTGCTTCAATTTCAATGATGTGTGCTCGAACTGAAGTAAATGTGTTTTTTTTATTATTTTTGATTAAAATTTGATCATATATATATATATAGAATGTTGATCGAATATTATTCAGTGGTAGTTTTTTACGTATTAATGATTTATCAATGCGAATATTAGCTTATGCTATGGATTATTGGTCTAGTGGTCAAATTAAAGCTATATTTCTTGAACATGAAGTAAGAAAGAAATAATCTTCTATTTTTGTTATTTAATAATTTTTATTTTTCAGGGTTATTTTAGTGCTGTTGGTTGTTTAAGAAAATTTATTATGGATGCAAATGGTTATGAACATGATCACATTCATTCCTTGCAACATTGATTAGTTTTCAAAAAAAAAAAAATCAATAATATTCGTTTTATTTGTTGTTTTTATGTGATAACTATTGAAAGTTTTGATAAAACATGCATTTGTTTACAATCGTTTTGTTTCTTTTTCAAAAAACAAAGAATGTATTATGATAATTTTACTTTTTGTTGAAGATTTTGAAACCAAAAAAAACAATGGTAGATCTTGTAAGTTTTTTTCATATGTTTTGTGTTTTGGAATGTTGTTCAAAATATTGGGTACCAAATAATATGACAGGTAAATTTATTAATTATAATTTTTTATTTGATATTTATGAGTTTTGTTTTTGTTATCTTCGAAGAACTTGATCTACGTTTAAAAGAACAATTGATGGGTCAACCTCTTGCACATAATCTTATATTTAAATCCATTAGTTCACATATCAATACTGAACATCCATCTAAAGCTTTGGTACTATCTTTACATGGAAGTACTGGTACAGGTAAGCATCTTCAATATTTCATTTTTTTTTTGTAATAAAATTTTTTTCAAAAATGTTTAAATTTATGGTATTATGTTTTTGAAATCGATATAAAATGAATTCTTTAAATATATGTATAACGACTGATGCAAAAGTCTTGGCACAAATGTCGAGACCTGTAGTATTTCAACAGAAAGTGCTAGAGATCTAATTCTTTCACCATTAGATAGACCAAAGTGTCTGCTTTCAAACTCACTTTTTGAAAAAAGCTTTTGATGAAGTTAAGGTTTTCAAATTTTAATTTTTGAAAAACCACTAAAAACGACTTGTAACCATGCGAAATTAGGAAATGTTACGATAACACACCTTTATGTAAGTTTCACAGTTTTTCGCTGTGCTACAAAAATTTAGTAGCTCAGTAGCTACGATTCAAAAACAAAGCTTGGTTCAATCAAACATAGTCTGGCTGAGTTATAAGTGGATGTAATTATGACGAAATTGGCGCCAAAGCGCTATTTTATTCATTAGTAGTGTTTAGCTGATTTTCAGGAGATGAAAACGCCTATTCCCAGTTTTTCATATGGATTCTGAAAGGTCTTGAAAAACAGCATCTTTTGGACTAATTAAAAATTTTTGTCTTCCTAAAAATATCTAAATTGTGCACCAAAAACCCAACACTGCCGTGCTTTCGCTTAAAAGCCTGATTGCGGATTACCATAGATACGCACAAATTTCGGAGTGTGATTTTGAAAAACCCTACACTTCAGACTTGATTCCCTGGAAGTTTCAGCTCATTATCTATTAATTCGACAAGAATACTGTTGTTTTAAATTTAAAAAAAGCGCGAAAAAGGATCAAAAGTTACAAACCGTTTTTAGTGGTTTTTGAAAATTTGAAATTTGAAAACCTTAACTTCATCAAAAACTTTTTGAAAAAAAGTGGGTTTGAAAGCAGACACTTTGGTCTATCTAATGGTGAAAGAATTAGATCTCTAGCACTTTCTGTTGAAATACTACAGGTCTCGACATTTGTGCCAAGACTTTTGCATCAATCGTTAGTAAATTATTCAAGATTTGTTTAATATGTGTGAATAAATCATCTATTGTTGTTAGTTGCTTAATTTCTTCATTGACTTTCATATGAGTTTGTTAAAATTGAGAATAGAATAAATTCATTATACA